ACTAAATAAGCTAAAGCACAACTCTCCTTAAGCCCTCTCTAAAGAAAAGGGGTCATTTTAGAATATTATTTACAGGGCAAGGAAAAAAATGGAATATGAAATAAATAGGTAGGGCGTTCTTTCAAATCTGTCTTGTGCTCTTAAGCAACCCTCCAGCTTAAAAACAGCCTGGGAGTGGGGGGTGAGTGGGTGGGGTCCCTAGACACTATGTGTGTGTGAGAGAGACTATATGTATAACTTCGCTTATAAAATAAAGCCATTTTCTGATTTCAGGGAGCATGGGCCACTCTGCCTTTAAAGCCAATCCCACTTCTCCATCTGAAAAACAGCAGGGCTGGACCTGCCATTAGAAAGTGAACCTCTAGCAGCAGCTCTTCAGAGCATCAGTAAGGGACTGGAGGAAGGAAAGGGGCACAGCCTACTCTGAACCTCCTAAGCTAGCCTTATTAGATGTAGCCTAGTCACCAGGTTTGAAAAATTAGCTGCTACTTTGTCCATTTGGAGGCTTGGAATGGAGTGAGGGCTACCTACTTCCATACCTTGTTTGGCTTTGAATAGCTAGCTGGTTTGGCAATTTTAGTTTGTCATTGGCTTGGAAAGGATAAAAAGGGGAAGTTCAGGAATGCTAAAGTAACCTTGGCTACCCTCTTTACCCTTTGACATATTATTTTCAGTACATTTGAAGTTAGTAAATGATTTTTTTCCCCTTTGTTTCCCTTCTTTAAAAATCAGTTACATAGGGTTGTAAGTTTTTCGGGCTGTATGGCCGTGTTCTAGAAGCATTCTCTCCTGACATTTCACCTGCATCTATGGCAAGCATCCTCACAACCTCTAAGGATGCTTGCCACAGATGCAGGCGAAACGTCAGAAGAGAGTGCTTCTCGAACATGGCCATACAGCCTGAAAAACCTACAACAACCTAGTGATTCCGGCCATGAAAGCCTTCGACAATACATCAGCTACATAGCTTGTCCTTGTCTAGTTTAGCCATCTATATTTGTTGCGAATGTGGGAATGGAGTGTGACCGAAGGACCATTGAAGGAAGGATAATGCTTAAGAAGAGGGAGGAAAATGGGAGAAGATGACTGAATGCCTATAGTCTGCTTCTTTGCATCACTGTGGAATTTCACTTCAGGCAGTCAGTGTGGTGTAGTGGTCTGAATGGAACTATGACTCTAGAGACCAGGGTTCAAATCTCCACTCAAGAAAACCCACTGGGCGGCCTTGGCCAAGTCCTACTCTCCCAGCCTGAGAGGAAAGCAAAGCCAAACCCCTTTGAACAAATCTTGCCAAGAAAGGCCTGTAATAGATTTGTCTTAGGGTCATTAAAATGACAGCAAGAGTCTTTGTATTAAGCTATTGGGATGGTATTCGGCCTAGGGCCCATTCCACCTGAACAGTTATAGTGCTATTATTCCACTAACTGCTATAGTTCTTTTCTGTGGAATTGAAGGATTTGCAGTTGGAGCGGTCAGTAATTGTACTTCAGTGCCTCCCTGAACTGCAGATCCCAAGATTCTATAGAATGGAACCATGACAAAATAGAATAATAGCACTATAATTCTACACTATGAATCAGACCTTGGTTTGTCCAATCTCTTATGTTTGGTTCAAAATTCAATCCTGGGCACCCTTGAAGTTGATAGGTCAAATTTCTGAGTAGAAGGCCACAAGAGTAGGCTGTCATCTACATTTAGTAGCCAAATACTGTATTTGGTTGCTGCCAGATATGTGCAAACTAAGTCCATGGAAAAGCTTCCTTCAAATTACAGGAAAGGAGATTCCACCTGAACATTAGGAAGAACTTCCTGACCATAAAAGCTGTTATACAATGGAACTCACTGCCTCAGAGTGTGGTGGAGATGCCTCCTCTGGAGTCTTTTAAACAGAGGCTGGATAGTTTTCTATCAGGCATGCTTTGATTGTCCTTTTCCTGCATGGCATGGGGCTGGACTAGATGGCCCATATGGTCTCTTCGAACTTTATGATTCTGTTTGAGAAGACTATGGGCTGGATGTTTAGCACAGCTGGCAAATCATCAGCAATTATAAGATCTATCAACCAAAAGGTTGCAAGTTCGAAGCCCCGGGTTGGCGTGAGCTGCCAACTGTCAACCTAGCTCATTGTTTATCTAAGCAATTTGAAAACAGCTTTAGCTGTGATTAGAGAAATTAAGTACTGCTAAAAGTACTTATGATGCCATAAAGAAAGATCAGAAAATGCTGGGCGACCAAAAAGAAGGAGGAAGTCCTGACGGTTCTTCATCATGGAGGATAGAGCAACAGCACCCCCTGGGCTCGAGCCCAACCTTCCATGGCACCTCCTTCTGTTCTGTCTATGTATTGTCTATACAAAGTGGCATTGAATGTTTGCCCTATATGTGTACTGTGATCCGCCCTGAGTCCCCTTCGGGGTGAGAAGGGCGGAATATAAATAAATTGTTGTTGTTGTTGTTGTTGTTATTATTATCTGGAACTTGCTGACTGAAAGGTCGATGGTTCAAATCCGGGGGGTGGAGTGAGTTTTTGCTGTTTGCCACAGCTTTTGCCAACCTAGCAGTTCAAAAATATGTAAATATTAGTAGATCAATAGGTACCACTCCAGTGGGGAGGTAACAGCACTCCATGTCGTCATACCGACCACATGACCTTTGAGGCGTCTATGGACAATGCTGGTTCTTCTGCTTAGAAATAGAGATGAGCACCACCCTCAGAGTCTGACAGGACTAGACTTAGTGTCAGGGAAAACCTTTACTTTTTTATCTGGAACCTTAGAACTTCTGTGACCCTTTCAATCCCATCACTTTAACCTTTCTGGTCTCTAGGGTGGAAAACACCTGTGGCAAGGGATACTCCTCCCCCCTTGCCCCCAATGAATAAAATGGAGATTCTCATTCCATGTTCTGAAGAACTTGAACTCTTCCAGAAAGTCAGAGCCAGCATGAAGAGAGAAGAAAATATCCTAAATTCTAATGCTTATCTCCCTTTCCATGGCATTGAATCTTCCCCAACTTGCCTCCTTCCCAGTGCTAAAAGTAATGTTAAATCGCAATCAGGATATTCTAACTAGCAAGATCCAGCAGCTCCAGCCTCACCTCTGACATTTACATCATATAGCATGTAAAATCAATCTGTGTCCCTTCATACATACAGAGGAATGTGGAGGCAAACACATTCCTTTTGTAGGCCCCTCCAGTCATATTGGAAAGTCAAGATAATATGAAACAGATCTCTTGGTTCTCTGGGGGGTGGGGTGGGGGGTTGTTGACGTATTTATTGATTTGATTTTGCTAGATAACAAGTTTAAGGGGGGGGGGGGGAAGAAACCTATCTAGGCTGCGTCTATATGAAACTACGCCACCTGGGTGTTGTTGCTTCTTTCCCAAGTCTCTTGCTCTCCAATGCTGTATGCACTTTCACAGATTTCCCCTCCTCCCTAATGACTGTCATATATTTATTTTTAATCCAGACTTTTTAGTGGTTTTGTCTGCATGTGTGTATTATTGCTGTTAAAATCCCCCTTTACGTTTATATTATGGGGACTGAGCATTTTCATTTGCTTTCCTAAGGATAAAATCTGATCACCTATCCTTGGTTTTGGTTTGGAGATCTCTAGGACACCTGGGGAGGAAGGGAGAGAAGGAGGGAAATACTGGGTTCATCTATATTCTGTATTCAAACTGGGGGAGATTTTTCTCCATTTTTTAAACCGGGGCACCTATATTGGGGGCAGTTAAAGCTGCTAATGCAACATTTCTCAACCTGGTGGTTGGGACCCCTGTGGGGGCGTGAGGGGGGTGTCAGAGGGGTCACCAAGATCATCAGAATACACAGTATTTTCTGTTGGTTGTGGAAGTTCTGTGTGGGAAGTTTGGCCCAATTCTATCCTTGGTGGAGTTCAGAATGCTCTTTGTAGGTGAACTACAAATCCCAGCAACCACAACTCCCAAATGTCAAGGTCTATTTTCCCCAAACTCCCCCAGTACTCATATTTGAGCATATGGAGGATTTGTGCCAACTTTGGTCCAGATCCATCGTTGTTTGAGTCCTCAGTGCTTTCTGGATGGAGGTGAACTACAACTCCAAAATTCCAGGTCAGTGACCACAAAACCTTTCCAATATTTTCTGTTGGTCAGGGGAGTTCTGTGTGCCAAGTTTGGTTCAATTCCATCCTTTGTGAAGTTCAGAATGCTCTTTGATTGTAGGTGAACTATAAATCCCAAATGACAAAATCAATCCTCCCAACCCCACCAGTATTCAAATTTGGGTGTATCAGGTATTTGTGCCAAATTTTGTCCAGTGAATGAAAATACATCCTGCATATCAGATATTTACATTATGATTCATTACAGTAGCAAAATACAGTTATGAAGTAGTAACGAAAATAATGTTATGGTTGGGGGTCACCACAACATGAGGAACAGTATTAAGGGGTCTTGGCATTAGGAAGGTTGAGAACCACTGTGGTAATAGATCAGGAATAGTCAAACTTGGGCCCTTCAACTCCCACAATTCCAAAAGCCTCGGGCCCTTTGCTTTTCACCCTCAGGAATGGTGGGAGTTGAAGTCCAAAACACCTGAAGGGCCCAAGTTTGACCATGCCAGTAATAGACCCTTGCATGCAAACGCCAACATAGGCGAGGAAAGAAGGCTGAGCACCTTGGTACAGTGTCCCATATGCTTTTTAAATGGGGTGAGGGTAAGGACTGATATGTTGACAGAAAATCCGCTTTTGGCTGAGGGGCTTTTCGGTGAAGAGTGGGTTAAAATAAGGCAGGGGGGACCCTAACTCGAGTTTGCCTCTTGGAAAGCTTTCAGGTTGCTTGCAGCCTTGCCTTCCAAGCATTCTTTCAACGAGAAATGTGGGAGGGACTCTGAGAAAGAGAGAGAGAGATTCATTGAATTCATTACAGTAAACATCTCCCTGGGGTGTCAAGCGAGGAAAAGGCGGAGAGAGGGAGAGAGAGAGAGAGAGAAAAGGGGGGGGGGGAGGATAGGCGAGAAAAAAGGCACGGCTTCTCCGAGAGAGGAATAGTCGGATTGGAGACCTCGTGACGACGAAGATCAACCTGGGAAAGAGGCGAGAGGCAGGCAGACAGGCAAACGCTGGATCCCGAGAAGTGGATGAAAAGAGAGAGGGAGGAAAAGAGAGAGAGAGAAAGAGAGGGGAGGAGGCGGCGTACCCACACACGGAGACACGCTCCCACGCGCGCTGGTTGCAGCCTCCCCACACGCCTGCCTTCCCGTGCGCAACTCTGGAGATTTTTTCTTTTTTTCTTTTTTTGCCAACCCTTCCTCGCTTGAGCCTCTCTGCTAAGACCCGGCAGAGAAGCGGGCGGAAAAGAGCCAACTCTCCTTGACTCAGTCCCGCTTGAGTTTGTTTGTTCGTGGGCCGAGCGCGTGGGTTTTTCCCCCCTTCTTCTCGGGGATGCTGGAGCCCGGGGCTGCGCGTTGGAGGAGCCCGGGAAAGGATGTGGCCGCCGCTTCTGTTGCCTCGTAAGAGAGCGAGGCGCAAGAAAAAAGGGGCGACCTCCGGAGAGCGACCTCGACCGCCTGCGGTGGGGCAGACGCCGAGCAGACCCTGCGGCCGGGCTGCTTGGTGGGCTTCCCACCGGCTCTTTGACTTCGCCCTCGCCTTGCATGGTCATCGTAACCCTGCAGCGCCGAGAGGGGTCTCCAAGCAAGGTCTTTCCTTTGACTGGAGGTCGGACACCCCCAAAAGAGGAGGAGGAGGTGGTGGATTAAAGCCCCGACTCTCAATCAATCCTTCAGGTAGATACGAGTTGGTCCTCCGCGGCTTTTCCTTCGCCTCCCTCCAGCGCTTCAACCCTCCTCGCCCTCGCCATTCTCCTCCCACTAGAGAAAGCGGAGGGGGGAATTGTTAGATTCGGGATCCAGCTCTGGAGTAGATTACACACGACCATCAAGCTCCTTGGAAGGAAATAGTCGGGTATGTTTGGGTGTACACGTGTATGTATGTATCTGTGACGGTGCCCTACACGCGGGCAGGTCCGCAGGGGAAACGGCTCAGTGGCTGGCTGTGGCGATTGCCGGGAAAGGGAAAAGAGATTCATTCCCATGTTCTTTCCCCTCCTCCCCCCTTCTATGATGTTTGAGAAAAATAACCGGTGGGGAAAAAAGCATCTTTGCAGTGCCTTTCCTAGATTTCCCCATTGATTCTTACAGAGTGTCCCCTAGAGATTTGCTAACGCTGAGAGGGCAAACGCCTCTGCCCCTTTTGCCCTCCTTCCCCATCGAGGAAGGGACCTCTTCTACCCATCTGGAAAGAGAGGTCTATGTGGGGTAAAAGGATGGGGTTCTTTGGGGAAGGGAGAAAACCGAGGGACTAAACTAGGAAGATGATTCAGGTGACCGGCAGGAGAAGGTTGGTTGGAAGAGGTTGCAGGGAAGAACCTGCAAACTGCATCAGAATTCTTCAGATCCCAGCAATAGATACAAGGAGGTGGGTTTGATTGCTTGGAGAAGGGAGGCAAAAGGGAGAAGGAAGCATGGGTTGCATTTCAAGTCTATCAAATGGACAGCAGCCTTATTTCATGGAGCTGGTCAGCTAAATGATGGCTACTGACAAGCTGAAAGGGAATGGGGATAAGAGGAGGTTGAACTAAGCCCCAGCCACTGGGAAATCTCTCTAGAGTGTAAAATAAAGCATACCAAGAAGGAGAAGCCAGCAGCAAATTAGGAGAGAGCCTATCAACTTTCCCCTTTAGAATGGAGAATCAGTCATCAGGAGCTTTTAATTAATTTTAATGGCGGAAATCTGTTTTAAGGCTTACAATAAGCTAATACAGTCCAAAGCACAAATCCGAGCAAAAGCCTGTGCTTGCATATAGAAAGTGCTGATGAGATTTCTGTAGTTGCTGATATGTGTGTGCATGTATATCTATATCTATATCTTTCACATTACTACATTTTTGTATCTGCATTGCTTTGGATTAGTGGGAAGAAAGAAAGAGACACATTGGGTGTACTTAAACATAAGCCAAGTTCCTTTTTTCTTACATTTAGATTCTCTTCCATCCATATCCAAATGTTTATTTACTCCTTGGTGAGATTTATTTACTCCTCTTAACTCCTCAGCCCTTACAAGCTACTCAAAACCAATTTGGAGCTGAAACGTAATCTTCTGCAGGAGCTTAATCTTGCAGTACTCACTCAGCCTCCCTTCCATCCCCTCCCCCCATATCTTGGGGTTCAGTCATAGATTTATTCACCCACAGTGCATATTGGAGACATTCCTTCAGCAGAGGTATTTCTGAATCTATCTGCGACTCAAGAGAAGCAAAAGAAAAGGCTTAGAGGAAAGTCTGACTCAAAAAGACACTTGCCTAGCGACTTTCTTCCCTAAAGGCTCTAGATATCTTGATATTTGCAAAAAGAGCCACTTTGGGATTTCTTGGAGGTGGATCTCTGCACAGAATAGGAAAAGGGTTGAGAGATAGGCCTTCAGAGATATGGTGATTAGTTTTCTATCGCAGCTGAATAACCTACCTGCTCTGTTAAAAAGATTACAGAATAAAATGTGTAGAGAATATAAAAGTTTTGTGTAATTAGTCCTTTTTGTTTATCTGTGACATAATAGCTATTTTGGGAAGAGTATTTGGGGGCTTAGGTTTCTTAAGAGGATCGTCATCTACCTCCCCAATTATTTTTTCAGTGGTAAGGAACAAAAAATCTCTTGGGCCCAGTCTGAGTATCAGTTCTCTATTGTCCTGCATGGCAGAGGATTGGACTGGATGGCCCAGGTGGCCTCTTCCAACTCTATGATTCTCCTGATCTCAGTTGTGTTGTGTTTTCCTATTCCATGTCTTGACTGGAAAGGCCAGAGAGGTGTCTAGAGTATTTTTCTGACTTGTTATGAGTCTCCCATGTCAAACTTTCTATGAGTTTTATGGGCCAAGCAATCTCCATGTTAGTCTAACATCTTGAACTGAGCTCATTATCTTGGTTTGAAAACAGAGTTGGTTTCTTCCAGGAGGTATCACAATCTGTAAAAGAGGGAGAAACAGAAGGTGGAGGCCAAGCATGATGATTACGTTCTGCATGTACAATGTTATCTTACCAGTTTGCAGAAATTTAGACTTAAATCAAAGAGAAATTGGTTGGAATGTATACAAGATAGGCTTAGGTTCTACACACATGTTAGATAAGATGCGATCTTTATCTGCAGTCTCTGGATTTAATTTAAGTCATTGCTCTAAATCAGGATTATTTCCTTGTTAGCTACAAAGTTTGATACACAGAATTAGACTTATCTGCTGAAAATGTCCTTGCCTCCACCCAGTTTGAAAATGCAGGCTATGGTTTTGGGCAAGAATTGGGAATGTGCGCGTGTCTGTCAATGGTTAGGAAGGCAACTCTCAGAAATCTTGATTTGATTTTCCTCTTGGTTGTGGGCATTCAAAGTGTAGGTTTACTTGCTTGAAAAACAAGCAGAAGTTCAAGCATTTTAAAAACCATTGTTTTTCTCCCCTCTGCTCATGTTTTAGATAAAGGAAGTAGCCCTGCTAAAGAAAATATTGTTTGTTTCTAAGAAGGAGAGTCTCTTAGTCATCTTTGCTCTCTCTGCTCTTAATCTAAGAGTGAGTTCATTTTTCACTAGATTACTTTCATATAACTTTGTGGTTTCTGCCACAGTGATTCAAATCCAGTCCATTAGTGACCTCTATCTGTGAGAAGTGTACAATCAATGCATGTTCTTTTCTCCTCTCCATTCTCTCCTTTCCTTCAGCAAAGTATATTAGGAGATAGGCAGGTTGGGGATGGGGACACACAACTGAAATGTTTGTAATGTTAATACATTTAAATTACCCAGTTTGCTTGCTGGTATTATTGCCCAATGTTTTAGCAGTACAAAATTCAAATTGATATGAGCCAATTTTGTCCTGTGATTAGTAATGAAAAGAATACCAGCTAATTGGGTAATGTTCTCTGTCTTTTTGCTGCTAATCAAAAGTGGACAGTCATGACAAAATCGAGAGAGCAAATACAATTTGGACCAACTGGTGGTCCACTTTTGATCCAGAAATTCTGATTATTTCATAACTCATGGCATCCTAAGCACATATAATGATTCAGACTTTAAAAGCATACTTTGTAAAGATATAAGACGACCAGTATTTAATTTTAGCAACATTCTATTAATAATAGCAATACGTAAGATATGTCCATATGTATTTTAGAATCCATTTGTGCCTCTATTGCATAAATTTGCATAAATTAGAGGGCAAAGAAATGGAGAGATTATTAACAAATGATCTCTTTTGAGAGATTTTTAAACCTGGTTTCCCATACTAATTTTCCTCTTGCTTGTATCTATATCCTTATTTCATATTTAGTTAATTACTGTGAATTGATGATTAAAAAATTTATCGCTCTGATTAGGATAACAGAACAAATGAACAACCATAGGTTCTTTGATATTTTCTTGACAATATTTGGGATTTAGTGATAAAGCAATGTGGTGTCATTAGATGCTTGAATAGTTCCTTATTTCTTTTTGGCATATTTTTGTCCAAAAGTAATTCTGTGGCTGGCTGGTTTCCTTTCTTTCTTTTTTATTTTTTTAAATCTTTCTTTATACTGGCATACTAGCTGGCTTAAAAGGCACCCGAGACTAGTACAACTCTGTTCGTACAATACAGTTCCCCAGTGTTCCTCTAAAGAAAAACAGACTGTTTTGTTTGTTACAATCTTGATGTTTTCTTGTTGTTGTTTGAAATAACACCACTGACTGTTTGCAGAAGCAAATACTTTGGGAGAATATTTTTTAGTCTTTTATGAATCCCTTTTTGTTCTCTCCTGTAAAATTGTTAGTGGAAACACTGAATGTAGCTAACTTAAGTAAGTGGTACAAATTGTTATAATTTTCCTGCTCTTTAGTTCTTTTCTGGTGATTTACACATTTAATGGTCTTATTTTATTTTATTTGTTCATTTTCCTGATATGGTTCTGAGCTGGATGGCAGTTTAGGAATAGTGAGCACTTAAAATAAATTTGTCACATTAAATCCAGGATTCTAGAAAAGGTAATGATTGGAAAGAAATTGGTAAATATCAATTACTAAAAATAAACAGACAAAAACAAATGGAAGACATGTATTCGTTTTCTGAACTGCTATTTTAATGATTTAGTTTAATGTAAAAGACATTTTTATTCTCTATATATATTTGTTAAATCAGAGCTATAGAAACAGACCATACACTTAGCTAAATTTTCCATTGAGACGTATACCTCAGTTCCTAAAGGCACCAGATTCTATCTGATATTGAATAGGCCTGATTAGTACTTGCATGGGAGATGGACCAATAAATACTAGGTACTATAGGCTATATTTTAGAGGAAAGAACTGGTAAAATCATCTCTGCATACTCCTTGCTTACAAAACCTCTATGATAATTATGGGGTCGCCAGAAGGCACATAGTCAGTTCACAACATGGTCTGAACAGCATTGCTCCAAAATGCAGGTGACTCAATGTCTATGCATAATTTTGAAAACTTTTCCTGTGCTGTCTTCTTTGGAGGTTGCTTTCATCTTTTCCTTTTGAATCAAACCTAATAGTGTTTCTTTTTGAAGATTGTTCTGAGCTGCTACAACCCCAATCCTGGATTCCCTGTTCACATTGATGTTGATGTGATCAGTTCATATTGACCATGCTTCAAAAGAAGGAGGAGAGTTTCCATACCTAATATCATTGGTTCTTCTTAACACCCTCATAGATCAATTCCCGAAGGTCATAACAAATATTCCAAC